AATCTTCTGAATTAACCCAAGACTGGGAAAAACTTATATTTCAGTACTTCAGGAATATGGTGTTTTCGTTTATAAAATGCACCATAAATCAGACTTCTTAAGGCTTTCACCACAACCTACAACATATGAGGAAGCACAAAATTCACACATTCACTTCCATCAAACGACATCACGAGTGAAAATCTCACAAATAAATATAGCATAAACAAATTTCTGCAGTTGTTAAAAGAATCAATTCCCATAAGGAAGTCAAGGGTACCAGCCAGAATTTCAAGATCAAGAGATAAAGGCGAACCTTTGTTTTGGAAACCAATAGCTTCTCCGCGATGGACATTTTAGGAGGCCGAAACCCTAGCCTTTGCTCCTTCAGTTTATTGAGCCCCAGATCCTCAATCACACCCCCAAAAGCATCCCTGGGGAACACATCCTTGGGCGGAAAACCCTCGCAAACCCTGGCCAACCTATTTCTTGCCTCCAACATCAATTCCTTCTCCACGTCAGTGGGCCCCTTCCCGCCCCTCATTTTTCCCATAGCCGCCAGCACAAGGACCATCTCAGCCACCTTCTTCACATCCCCGACCAAACTCCGATCAACCCCTCCCCTAACTCTCTTGGACGGCGAGCACTCCTCCTTCAACATGTCCACATCCTCCGCCCCCGCCCTCTTTTCACCGACAATGTCCGATCCCGACCCAAGAAACTCGGCGGCCGATTCCATCCAACGAATTGAACCCCGAACGAGAGGTTACACATGCAAAACCCGCAAGAACGGCGTCGTAGCGAGGTAGAAATCGGCGCCCAGACCTGCAAGCAAGAGAGAGAGTCAAAGCAGCCATGAGAGGAGGGGTTAGAGGAGGAGATAACAAACCCTAAGGGAGGGAAAAAAGGAGAGGCAAAGGGGGGAATATGAAATTACAAATCGTTAAAAAAAACTTAAAAATAAACCTGTTTTGTTTTGGCGGGTAATTGTATAGACAGAGGAACTTTGTGAGTAAATCGTATGTGGGAGAGTGGGTGTGAGCGAGCGAGCGAGCAAACAAAGTTGAGCAGGGCGATAGGAGAGAGAATCTAATAAGGGATTTCTGATACTATTCTTTTTTTCTTTTTATTATTTGTTTTTTCAGTGTTCCCTTTGTCGCCTAGCCTTCGTACTGGGCCTGCTTGCAATGGAGCACAAAGCCCAATAAGACATATTATTATTATTATTAATATTATTATTATTATTATTATTATATATAATTTGAGAACGTGTTGAGCCCAAGTGTCTGTTTTGTACGATTCGTAATCTTATGTGGAAAAATATAATGCTCCGTAATGCGGCTCAAATAAATATTAGTAATTTTTTATATCAAATAACTTGGTTTGGAGTGTCATATATACACATATTTAATATATTTAAATTATTTCATATAAATCTATTTATTATCTTGTTTTTATAATGTGCTTAATATCTTATGGTCTAAATTTTGTGTTTAAATAAAATATTATAAATAAAACTAATGATGTATATAAATTAATTATTATAATTTAAAATAATATTGTTAATTAACTTAGTCCTTTATTATAAATTGTTATATATTGTTCCTTATTTTTTTTTTTAACTTCAACAAAATAGATAAACATTTTTTTCTTTCATTTTTTGTTGTACATTTAATTATTTTATCAAACACCCGTGTATAGTACACGGGTGTTGTACTAGTTATAATTATTGCTTCCTTTTTTTTTCTGAAACCCCAAATTTCAATAGATTTTTGGATTTTATTTATTGAGTAACGACTAACGAGTGAGACAAGATCTCTTTATCAAAGATTATAAAATCATTGATTGAACTCGTTGGTGTAATTTATTTTGTTTGGTTTGATTTATATTTGAAAATGGAAACTTTTTCCTCATTTCATTCACCCACTTTATTTTGAACGATGCTACATAAAGACTAGTACAGAGCCCGTGGGGTGTATAATTTTAAGGCTATTTATCCAGGCGTATAATTATATACATGAATAAAGAAAAATGTACGGGATATATATAGTACATGACCGTGCAAAGCACGAGATATATTTATTTAGAGAATATTATATTATAAGATGCAATATTCAATAAAAGTTTATAATACGCAAGAAAATTGTACAATGTTCAATAAAAGTTTTATAATATTCAAGTGGAGTCTTAAAGTCTCTTGTACATTAAGACTACTGACAAAATAATATTTTAGATCAATGAGTTTCCTTTTATTGTAGCCAAATTTTGAATGTGATTTGAGGAGTACAACAAATCGATATATAATTGACTTGGTTTTTCATTATAGTTTTTTTTCTTTTTTTTATAATGAATTTAAAGATATTCTAAAATATAGCAAAAATTAATTTTTTTATTACAATTAGAAATTTTACTAAATATAAACTCTCAATCTATGGTGTTAATCAACGTTTAAGTATAAAAAATTAGGAATTTTTACCTCATTTAATCAACGTTTAAGTCTAAAAAATAATAGAGTTATTATAAGTTTTTTTCCTACATCTTTTAAAACATTAAATATGAGCATGTTAGGGCTAGCTTGTAAAATAATTAATATATTATCTCACTAAAACATTTATACTAATAAAAATTTAATTTTAGCATATAAATTTATCCATTGATATAAGAGAAAGTAATAGTATTAATTATTGTTGTTCACTATATAATATTTAATTATTATTTTATTATATAATAAAAAAGAAATATTGTTAAATAGTGTAGTAGAATTATTATAAAATTATATGATTTTTTTTTTTACAATATGGATTTAATATTTTTTTTATGATTTGATAATATAAAAAAATTTATACTTAACTTTGACAAATAAAACAAATAAATACTTTAGCAAGTATTTAATGTATATATACTAAATAGAAATATATTTGGTATAATCAAATACCAAATATAATCAAATAAGTCAAAGTGTACATTTTTATTTGGTATTTGATTTTTTTTATTATTAAATTCTTTTTGTTATACTTACCTTTTTAAAATAAAATAAATAAATAAATCAATTAAATAAATAAAATATTATAATACCTAAATAGTAATAGCATTTAATGCAATTGACTTTTCTGGATAGTAAATATAGGAAATAGAATCTCCTTTTATATAAGTATAGATTGTATAATACGGAAATAGTAATGCAATAAATGTTGTTGACTTTTCTTTATACTAAATCTGGTAAATGATATACCTTTTAATATAAGTATAGATTTTGACATTGTATTATACAATGGTAGACATACGAATGTATGTAATTTTTGTTGCTTTAAATGTAGTGTAATACGTAAAATTATAATATCGTGCCACTTGAGTATTATGTCAATCATTATATAATTTATATTTGTGTAGCATAACCCATCTACTTTATACTCTTTTTCCCACTCAAATTTCTCAACACAATCAATAATATTAATCTTTAAATTTAATATTAACCGAACCTCATAGTTTTAAATTTTAATCGATAATTATTTTATTATTTACGTATCCAATTGCACCACTATCTCAATCTAATTACCATCTTCTTTTTGTTTCGTAATTCTAATAATATATGTTTTGGAGCACATACATGTATATTGGAGGTTACAATAGGCATGTAAGTTAGGGATTAGGTTGGAATATCTATATAAGAATTCTAATAACATTTAAAAGTACTTAGTTAATTTAAATTTTTTAAAATTAGATCATTTTTATTTGACATCTTCTTATTTATTTAGTATATATAAAATTATTTGTCCTTTACCGATCATGATATTCATGTTGTATACTAAATAAAAACATAATTATATTTACTCTTATAAATAAAAAATAATTTAATTCAGCAATTCTAGTTAGAAACTCACAAATTATTATCATTCTTACTTGAAGATTAATTTTATTTATCAGTCTTAATTGGCTAAAAGTATTTATTTTTGGTAAAAAAATTGATTGCATATTGTGAATAATTTAATTCAGCAATTCTAGTTAGAAACTCACAAATTATTATCATTCTTACTTGAAGATTAATTTTATTTATAAGTCTTAATTGGCTAAAAGTATTTATTTTTTGTAAAAAAAATTAATTGCATATTGTGTGATCCTATAGGCCTTTATATATTTATAGAAATCTAAAATATGATCCTCACGAAACTCTTAGATATTGAAGATCATAAGATAATAAGATAATCAACGACTTTAAAATATATGCGAGGAGAATTTCAAAAGTAAATGAAAGAAAATTTGTCATTCAATTATCAACATAAAGAGAGTGAAGAATTGATGTATCCATATTATATATTAGTTTCATATTTAGTTATTTCGTTTTCTTTTCATTAGAAATTCATTATTTATTCATCTATTTTAAATTGGTACCTTAATATGTTATCATCATCTCTTTATATTACAAACACATCATGCTATCTATTTAAACAAAAATATTATGTAGCCATCAGATAGTTTTCTTATGGAGCCATTCACCACCTAATGTATTGACACTTGTCCAAATTGTATTTATTGTAAGACACGTGTCAATATACTATTGGTGAATAAGTGTGGATGACTCCATAAGTCGAGCCATCCGATGGCTCCATAGCAAAACTGTCTATTTAAATATACCATAATAGCCTATATTATTCCTTTTCAATTTTATTTCCTCATGGACATGAATAATAAACTAATTATTTTTCTTTACTACAAAATTAATTAAAAAGAAAATTAACCACCACGTGCATTGCACATGCATTTTACTAATATTAAAGAAAAGAATGTCTCAGTTTATGAATTTGCATCTGCAGATATGTTGAGGTGTCCGTTGAGGTTCGAGAGAGTTATGAAGCAAAAGGATGATTTGCTCTATATTGAAGAAAAAGAATATCGGATTGAAGGAGGCACCCATTGTCACTCATGATGCCCTGGATTTGAGTTGACATCTACAAAGGTCACATTGTTTGGTTTCATGTTTTCAAGTGATTCAAGTGATTGCTCTCAGGTTAGCAAGTAGCAGATAATACGAAACAATATAGGTGTTTGCATAAATCACAATGTTTGAGTAATCACACAATACCAAACTTTACACCTCACACAGTGCCAAAAAGATACTGTGCCACTCATTTGGCCATGGCAGATCGAAGATACAAAAGCAAAAGAGAGGAATTTTTTTTTATTTTGTTCAAATTAAATACATAAATTGATAGTCAACAAAACAAATAAAGCATCAGACTATTGTTTTACAATACAGAAAGATAAATTTGATATAATGATTAATGATAAGCATTCCATGCAAATATGACACAAAAAGAGTACACCCCAAATTGTTATTGCTCTTACATTATTCGTCCATGATAATGTACGCTACGCTCTCACTGCACATGCTTCTCGTAGAAAGTTTTATCCCGATTCATTCAAAATCGGAACAATTAGAGGTTTCATTTGTGCCAGGTAAACAATGGCCCACCTACACAACACCATAGAACATGATGAATGTTGAGAAAATAGCGGAGCAGCCTGAATATTTCCATGGAAAATAAATAGAGGACAAGAACATTGAATTCATGCTAAAAGGACAAAAAGCTTATAGTCAATGAAATTTTGCCTTCAGTCTATTTCTAATCCTTCCTAATCTAAAGGAGCTTTATATTTTCCAGTGAGCGCAACAGTTGACTTGCTACGTGACTTGTGAATTCTGTTGGAAAGGGATTCTTTTCATTCATCAAATAATTAATTTAGTGAGAAAAAAGGCAAAGACGGAAGAACAAAACAATAAGATTTAATGCTCCTTTTGTTTCATTTTATTACCCCCCCAAAAAAAGGGAAACAAATATCTGTCTTACATTTAATGATAAGATTTAAGTGCCAGATCATTTGCCACTGGAGAAGGGAACGGAAATGGAGTAAACTATGAATCTCCCAACTCACAAAAAAAGCAAAACAATATATATATATGTCTAGCTTTCAGACTATGAGCNAAAAAAAAAAAAAAAAAAAAAAAAAGGAAAAGATGAGCATGCAGTGTGCAACATACTATGGTCTTAGACTCTTAGTATAAATTGATGGGAGCTACATTTTGAAGCCTTACATGCCACATCAATGGCAATCTGGTCGTTACAAACCTCAAAAATGGGGCATTACTGTTATCTAGTAGCTCAAAGGAGAATTCAAGACATATCCACCAATGTACACTTAAATATCACTAATTTCTTCTATTTATTGAAGGCATTGTTTCAAGATATAACCCGCGTCCACAATATATGATATTATACTAATCACACAGGAAGTTTTATAAGTTCTTGGAATACTCAGACCATACACAAAAAACATTTCATATTCGTCAATAGATCAACAGATATATTATTAGACGCAAACAAAGACAATGAACTTACATCATCCAGCAGCACACTGTTGCTGTAATTACCAATGTCAGGTGTAATCTGGAGAGCAGAAAATAAATTAAACATCCATCAGAAATAGGAGATTAACCTCTTGAAAAATAAAAGATGTAATTATCAAAGATACAACTCCGCTATTTATGCAAATGCTCAAAGTAGAAAATCAACTAATACGAATGACAATTGACAAATGTGTAAGTGCTATCACACAATTCACTGTAGCAGACAGTTCAATTTGGCATACAAATAATTGAAGATAGCAGTAGCAAAACACACAAACACCATTCTCAATCTAAGAAGAGATTCTCCTAAAGTAAAACAACATTAAAAGCAACATACAGGTTTGCTGAGGGCCCTCTGTTGCAGCAGATTCTGATGCAGAGTGATGCAATAACCCCTACCACGACGAAGATAAGGGTAGTCACCAAGAAACCCATCTCAAATTCGTTTTCCCAACACTATAAGAATCTGATACTGCACATGACAAATGGATTGGATAAGCAAAAAATTATCAGGCAGATGCGTGAAATATATAATTCGGAAGATGATCGGAAATACAAACGAGATGGATTAACTGATGGTGCACAGATCTTCAATAAGGACACTCAATATTATCAAATAGATAAAGAAGTCATTAGCAATAAAAGGCGATCATTACATACAGATAATAAGGGTATACCAGAGAAATCCGGCGACCAGCGAAGCTTCCCGGCGAACAATTGAAGCTGCTCGATCCAGCGTTGCTGCAAGATTCAATTTCTTCCCAGCCAATGGTTACCAAGTCCCCCATTCAATTAATTTTAATTTGGGCCTTGAGTTGACATCAAACATATTTGGGCCTCAAGTTATACACCAAACAAGTATGTAAACTGAAGGTGAAATATACATTTTTAAAATTTGCATATAAATATAATCACTTAAAAGCAAAACTATAGATAAATCATTTATCAATTAGTCATACATAAAAAATAATACAATAATAATAAAAATTAAATCACACATCAATCATTCATAAACCGTTAATTAGCGTATTTACAATTAAAAATGATTTGTAGGTGGATGAATTAAGTTTTTCCATATTAATATGCAATCGGATTACAAACCCGGTAAAAGGCCGATTACATAGTTACCTTAGTATTTGCAAAATAATTGTAAAGATAACTTACTACAAAACTTATTTGCAAAGATAACTTACTACAAAACTTATTTGCAGACATACCTTATTGACCATAAAAATTTATATTATTTACTACATTAAGGTAACGAGAGAGAGTACCTGGTAGTTACTTTGCAGGATCTCATGACATGTGGGTTCTTGCCATAATAAATAATATAGATTGAATATTTAGTTCTAGATAGATTATAAAAAATAGCATTTTTAAATTGGAATTCAAAAAAAGAGAACAAAATCACTAAAGAACAACAAACCTAAACAATATCTTTCAAATAAAAAAACGGTCTGCTATCCAGGTTTTACATGATTACGATTACAACTTGTTTTATACACTGTAATATACATGATTAGCGAATTGCCGTCATTTTTATTTACTTTTATGGTGTCAGTGTTCTACACACATTTGTGTGTTGTACAACTTGTATATATATACTTTATGTTATATAAATAATTACAGTTCATAAACCAAATATAAATTGAATTTTGGTTGTAGTAACTAGGACAACTTTTTATATTTTGTTACATCCTGAAGAGCACTTATATCATGTTTTACATATCAATGTTGTATAGATCATTGTTATGACAATAAGTAAAAAATATAAAAAAATATATATAAACGAAATTCAAACATCGCAATTGTGGTTAAATACATGTTTTTGTAAATAAAAATTAATATAAAGTATAATGAATATTAATAATTTACTAATTTGCTATTAAAAATATATCATAGTAAGAGTTTATTAGGTAATTTATTTTTTTTTATAAAACCACTCGTACTTTTATAATAATGTAGGTAGATAGATAATTAAATGACATACGTAACATCTTTGGTCATGCCATGAGACAAACAAAGAAAGTTTTCGTTTCATATAAATTTAAACCTAAGTGTAGATGTTTTGAAGCAATTTGAGATAGACAGAATGTTAGTGTATGTTTGGATGCACTTTTGTAATGGACTTTTGACTATAAAAGTCCATTTACTATATAAAAAGATGTTTGGTGTAGATAACAAAATGGACTTTTAAAAAAATAACTCCCACAAAAAGTCCATTTCAAAGAAGTTTATATTGAAAACTTCTTGAGAAGTCACTTTTCAAACAATAAGTGTTTCCAAACAAGCCCTTAACCCCTAAAAAGTTTCTTGTGAGTGAAAAATAAAGTACGCTTCATGGACTCGTGTTCTAGTGGTAACAATCATCAAATTTGGGTAGCAGACATGTGGAGTCACAAAAATTAGAAAAAAATAAAGGAATAATTAATATTACATTAATTTTTGAAAAATTCACAAATTTCTTGAATTATTATTTTGCAGATAAATAATATTTGTGAAAAGAGGGAAATAAAACTACTAAAATTAAATGTCAATAATATTTCTAACTATGGAGACAAGTTATAGTAGAAATAAAAGTTTCAACAATATTAGATAAAACCAGTCATTTCAGCCATTATCTTCAATATTCTCTACAAAAACTTCATGATGTTGATATTCAAATTCAACATTTTAGGTCCCAAAAAGAGGATTTGTTTTGGTTAATCCTTTACATAACCTTCAAACTTGTATGAGTTCAAACCTCTCATTTCCAATTTTCCACAACCATTGTCAAACTTTTTGATGTACCCTTGTTAAAATTCGTCACACTAGAAACTATTTTGTAAATATTTTCTTAATTAAAGGGCGTAGCTAGATACATGAGTGTATTCAGAAAAAAAGAAAATACATCAAATTGTAGGGCAAGATAAAATTGTTGCACTAGTTCACCTTATCAAGAAACAAGGGATTCTATCCACTTTAACGCTATTTGGGAAATGCATGCACAAACCATATGAATTCCACTATTACTCCAACTACCAAAATAAAANTGGTTCAAAAGTAAGATCTAAGATAACTCAAAATGCGAATTTATTCTTTTTCTTTTCTTTAAACAAAAGAAAGAAAAAACTAATAATATAGACATCATCCATTTTTTCTCATCTCCTGTAATGTAATTCAACCCTGTAGCAGTAGTAGTGTGTAATATGTGACTCAATCATCCCACCAAAAAAGGTCCTACAAAAGTATATGCTTTTCATTCTTTAATCCCTTTAATCCCTACTGACAAAAATTCTCACTCACCACAACCACTCACATTTTCAGTCGAGTCTCTGTTGCTTACGGCAGCTTGATCATCCGTTACAGTATCTTCTGATGCTGCTGTTGCCACATCATCATCAATGGTGAGGTGTGATATTTCAGAGACCGTTGAGCTGTCATCTTCAGCTCCAGGTGTCAGTGTCTCGGGTGGTTCAGGCGAAGGCCCACGGCTCATGGCTGCCGGAGATGAATCAGATTCTTCTGCAGGCTGCTGAAGGCTCCAGTACATAATACTTGCAGTTAGGGTGAGGATCATTTTTTGGTTCACCTGTCGGAAAATATCAGTCGAGCATTTGTCTTATTCATAAACGAAATTGTATTTAAATGTATTTTTAAGATGAATGGTCTTGTCCGATTTTCACCTCCATGATATCCTCTGGCAACAAGAAAATTGAACAGCCAAGCTTCCTGGCAACGCTGATTATATAGGTAGCATTCAGCTTTTTCTCTTCATCTATCACCACAAGACGGAAAGTAAGAGTCCCCATCACAGATTGTCCAAAATCAAATACAATGATCAGTAGCACAAAACACCCATGAGATGCAATTCGTTAAACAACAATTTATATTTAGACCCTCAATATTCATGCTTGTTCGACAGATTATTAACTTAATGCAAATCTCCACATCCGGATGAACTTATAATTTCAATAGTAATCGCATTTTGTTGTAATTAGGATCACTTTTGTAGTTTAATCCTAAGGGTGTGTTTGTAAAAGAATTTACTCAAACCAAATTAATTCATACTCAAAATCTAACTCAACTTTAACTCAACCCCACTATCCTCAATATTATCAATATAATTAAATAATAACAACCAATCATTAAATAATAACAAACAATCATTTTTACACATCATATCATATAAACTTTAATACACTATTCATCCACTCACATAATTTTAACTAACCATCACTTCATATCTATCTTCTACTTTTATATCAAATCAACTTTAATTATTTTATTTTAAATATTATTTTTATATACTCTCAAAATCCCACTAACAACTAACTATACTACTTTTTCTAAATTAACCATAGTTAATTAAAAAACTCACTTTGAGTTAATTTGATTGAATTTATCCTTTTACAAACACACCCTAAATAAACAAAGTCTGAATAACAAAAATTAACAAGTCCCGTGATGAAAAGTGAAAACGAAAAACTAAAGCATGACACATTTATGATTTATGAAGTATAAATATATGCAGAATAGATACTTAGATAATGCCCACCCCTTCCAAAAACTGAATTCCCATTTCTTTATCCCCAACCATTTACTGAAACCTTAGGAATAGATGCAAATTCATAACTATCTTAAATCTCTGCACTCTCAAATCTAAACAACATGTCATTCAAACTTCGAAAGCTCATATAAAGGTGTTTCTAATACAAAAAATAAGATTTTAATTTCTCAAGAACGAAATATTTGCAACTTACCAGTTTCACCTTTTGTGACAAGATTCCAATTAACAACTCGTGGTTCAACAGCACTTAGAAGCTCAAGAAAGAACAGTCCATTGGAAAGGCTCTTATCCTACACTAACAAAATCCACTATTACCAACCAGTAAAAAGTTCCAACATCAATATTATCAAGCTGTAAGTAAAAACTTATTCAACAAATAAAGCTTAGCCCCAACCTTGAAACTTTCCATTTGGGACTTCCGGCCTGAACTCTTCACTTTTTTGTTCGCCCAATTTAGTATATCAGTATCACTAACTTCCTTCCCTTGGAAGCGGGATCTAAGGTTTTTAAGAAGCTGAAGCATATTGAACCTCATCAATTGCCAAAGGAAAGCTGCCAACCAGATACAAATAAAACATGAGACCCAAGCATGTAACATCCATGTTACACCCAAGGTTGAAATTAGTTTATATGAAACAAGAACAAAGATTCTAGCGCAGAAGCAGTTAAAAGGTGAAGGAAAAGAAATGTTAAGAAACTTGGAAGTTTCATTTCTTAACCACATAATAACAGCACACCAGAAATCAACTACAGCAGTATGCGGTATAAAAATCATCAACCAAAGCAAAAGGTAAATAGAAATTAGCACAATTATAGCCACATAATAGCAGTACACCAGAAATCAAATACAGCAGTACGCAGTCTAAAAATCATCAACTGCCAAAGCAAAAGGTAAATAAAAACACAATAAACAAAAATGAATTATTGGGAGCTGCGAACAAATTTCAAAGAAGCAAAATAAAGACTAGAAAGTCACTTGAAAGCAGAATCACTGACTAGAGATGGTCCCAACCTTCATGCCTAGTACTTACCAAGTATAAGCTTCTTATTCCCTTGCACAAAATCATTTCCAGCTACATTTACTAGGGAGAGTCTCAACTGCTTTCCTATCCTAACAACTTGGTTGCAGTTCTCAACTTTCCTAAATGGCATTTTAATAGGAGGTTTTGTTGCCTGCTTCCAGATGACTGATCCTGGATAAACTTTATCCAGCACTTCCAGAAGAACCCACCTGACAATGTGATAAGTTCTATAAATATACATAAAGAAGTTAGCATGCTAGATGCCGGAAACTCCATCAGAGTGAAAACCTAGCTTCCAGACATCCAAACTGCTGCCCAGTAATGTGCAAAAGCAGACAACTATAAATTGAATTCAGACCTTTGTAAAGTCTAGTGTTTGAATGTCAGCACAAGCAACTTCCATAAAGCTGTAAAACTTACCCATTTCTAACATCTTCGAACAAGTTATTGACATAAGAAGTAATTCCGAGACTGTTGATCCACAGGCGGAAGCACCTCTCTTCTCTGGACATTAGCTCATCATCCGTCATCATCTCTGCAAAAGATATCTTTTTGCTGTCCGTAGACAAGCCATTCCTGGGATAAGAAAAAAAATATCAATTTCTCAGAAAGTAAAGAAACTTGAGCAACAAAATACAAACTATCAGAGTTTGACACAAATTTTTATTTACTACTTATAAGACAAAACAAATAATCCGGATAAAATAGAAATTCTTCAGAAAATGTGAGAATTACGCATTGAGTTCCAGAAAGAAAATATGCGTGAATGTTAGAGATAATATATTGACTGGATTTGCTTCTTGGTCCAAATAAACTATTAGTGAACTACATACTCAGAACCTAAGTTCAGCAAGCACCGTTTGTACAGAAGAATAATTGAACATTCATAACTGGAAAGGTACAACTTGAAACTTGAAGCAAATAGGAGATATCAATGTTACAACAAAGTTTAATTTACTTTTAAATCATGATACAAAAGTAGGCTCCTTTGACTTTTAATACTATTCTTCTAAAGAACTACAAAACTGAAACATCTAAAATTGTTCTTCATATGCCAGAAGAACCAAGATGAATAAGTTGTTGATTATTACCTTTGGTGGAATATTTGTGCAACAAAAGCAAGATTTAAATTGGTTGATCCCTCGACGATATCTTTGGGAGATAGATATCTCTTGCAGTCCATTTTCTCTGCATGCTCAAGAACCAAATTAGCCCTTTCAGTTGGGTCCTTTGTATCTAAGGTGATGGGACTGCAGTGCTCTGGTGCAAGCACATTAAGCAAATAGGCATATGCTTCTCCATCCTACAGATCACCACAATAACCGAATTACGACAGTTGAATTTCTTGTCAATATATGAAGTGGCCAAATCTAGCACGCCTAAGTGAAATTATAGGGGAACAAGCAAGTTCCAAAATATTAGCGAATACGCAAAAGAAACCCACAGTAAGTTGCCAACCGAGAATTTAGCCAAAAGAACAAGTCCGATATCTTCATGCGGTTTCTACACATGCCCAAACATAAGTCTCCAACGGAAAACTAAAGCCAGAAAGAGTAGAGAAACTGACTGGTAATTTAAACACTGTTTGTATCCACCTTGCACAAAAGTCATAATGTCTTATAACTTTCAGGCCACCTCACAGATGACCTTAAGAAAGAGAAAAGAACTCCCTTCACCATTAACTGATCTCCAACAATGGGTCTACAGTGTTACAGAATACAGATACAAGATCAGCTCTAAAACAAAAGTACCTTCAAATCAGAAGAAAAGTTTGACACAGTTTTCTTGTAGCCAGCTTTATTGAGATGGAAATTCATCCATTTCAGCAGAACTTTTTCTGGAGCAAGTCCCATGAGCTCCTCAACATCCTGCATATATTAATGACACCAGATCAAAGTGTAGAACTAAGCATAGTTCTAAGTTACGAATTGTGATACTTGATGTTATCAAGACTTAAAGGGAATTAGTCAATTACATTGTTGTCCTCCACTAATTCTACAAGCTGGGGTGTTTTTCTGAGGTTGAGATCTGCCAATAGTTGAATCTGGACGTGCCTCCCAAATGCAGTGGAAAGAGTTTCTATTAGTAAAGAGCAATCAACAAATTCTGCAATAATCTATTTCACCACAACTAATAACCCTCATTCTATCTCTTCTTTCTATTAATGTAACAAATTTAAAACCTACTGTATGTTATGAAACCATGCTAACCTTTATAATTTGAGAAATTAATCCAAGCACCAGATGAGGCTGCAGGGAATGACCAAATACATAAAGATCTTAATACCAGACAAATTATTATTAACAATCCATATCATGCAAAACTCATCTCTATACAATCCCAACTTACTCTTCCCTCAACAAGATCCTGAGTGCCAATATTAACTACTGTGCATCCAATAGCCTTTGCAGAGTTGAGACATAGTGTATGGTTCTCATTTCTTTCCCATGGATTGATTACTCTTTTTGTGTTGATAGCACGTTCATCTATTGTATTAGGTACTGCAACATTGATCAGCTTACTGAAATAATTCCAATTAAGAGTAAAAAATCAGATATTATCAAAATAGGATGTCATTAAGGTGCACGAAACCAAAGCTGGTAGATTGAAATTACCATAATAGGACACCATCCTTAGCAAGATCAAATAAAGCATTTGAAGAGGGGTCAATTGGAAGGAATTGCTTCAGAAATGGATCATCCCTCAGGTAACTGTTGATATGAGCAACATATGAAGCCTTTTCAGATTCACTGATAGTGTGAAGAAGGGTTGTCGTGGTGGCCTTCAGGAACGATGACGAATCTTTTGAATTTCCCTTTTTTACATTGGCTCTACTTTGTAAATCCAAGTAAGACTGCTCATTCAAAGCAACTAAAACAATGTCACCAATCATGCATCTAATTTAAAAATTAATTAGAGAAAATTATTCTCAGTTCCGATTTTACTAAAAGCCATTGACCTCTAAAATATATACGAGTACAACAATTAGGACCTCATATGAATTTTGAAAGGTATATTACCAACTTCTTATTTGTTAAATACTCTGGGATGAAAAAATTACAATAACTACAAATAGAGAAGAAAAACTTACTCTGAGGAAACCTTCAAAATCTATCTCATTATTCATATCAGGGTGTAATTCTCCTACTGCTTGCCTAATCTGCTCCTCATCAAATGTTTCATTGAGGCCCTTCACCTTAATCATCAAAGACGGTAGATCTTCAACCGTGACTTTGCCGTTCAGATTCTTAGTTGCTATGAACTATAACCATGGGGGAAGAAAATGAAGAGGAGAGTCAACAAAATAAACACATAATACATCCCAAACATCAATTCAATACATATGCACTTTAGAGGATTGCTCTGATTCTTAATTTCAGTGAAATGCCCATACACAATCCACGGCAACTTTGACAACACATTTTTCACAATAAAAATTAGCAAACCCTTAATCGAAACTTGAAATGCAATATCTATCTAAACAATAAAGGGAGGCTTACTTTGGATTTGAGGCTGCGAAGCTCGACTTGCGTGAACTGGCTCTGAAGCCATTGATCAGAAACAAGAACTCCCACAAAGCTAGACATCGCCTTTCCTGCCCCCGCGTTTGCACAAATCGCGGGGAAAATACTCTGAATCAAACTAAACTCTGTGACCGTGATTATGCCCAGAATCGAGCGCTACGAGATTTCAAATCTGTTTCAATCTAGAAACACCAATACATTAAACGAAAGCAGAAAAGCGAACATGTGAAACACTGATTTATATCGTTAAATTAATTGAATAAGGCAATTCAATCCCCGCACAAACAGATATCATCAACCGGAGAACCCATTTTTGAATACATGTAGCAGGATTCTGATAATGGTAAAAGAAGGACGAGATGAAAGAGTAGGGGCTGAAAATATCACAACAGGACATGCATACCCGTAAAGCAATCCACGATTCTCGTGTCTCCTTTATCGATTTCTATATAACTATAATCTTTCTAAACCAGTCGATTGAAGGTTGGACTGTTCGATGTAAACGTCGGAATATTCAATTCATGTGCCTGCAAGAATGGAGGTGAAAATGTAATTGAGATTTTGGGTGTGGACACGCAAAGATCATATGAGTAGGCAGTTAATTGGGGACCGTGGAGGCCCATTTACATTTATGAGGTAGACTCCCCCACGCGCTTGTGCATGCTAGCGCTGTTCTACGCGCTTCCCTCCTCTCTACACCTCATCTTCGACTTTACACCTCACCTCCTCATTTCGTCAAATTCTGTGCAAATTGATCATAATTCATAATTCATATCAATCCTACTTGTTCATTTTTACCCCAAATTAATACGATACGAATCTCGTGTGTGATGTACGGATAAAAAATATTTATTAATATTTATAAATTAAAAATTTTTATTTAATAATATTTATAAATTAAAAGTATGAAATTAATATTTAATATAATATACCTATATTAATTTATTAAAAATATTATATAAAATTTAAATTGTAATAAATTACATTAAATTGTGAATTAATATACAACCCGGACGTTGCACATAACTAATAATGAATTACATTATATTTGTTTCACAATATGTGTCATTCTAAAATTTGTATTCAGAAATTTTATTTGACTATAACGTAATTCCATAAAATAATTATTTTTGTAAAATTTTATCATTTATTTCAAGCCTACGTGAATAATAAGTATAAATATAAACTTATATTGTTTCATTCATTTAAATGAATTTATTTTGTATAAAATATCCAAATCGAAATATTTAAGTAGTTGAATAAAAACAATCAGTAACAAGATTTTTTATGCCACAAAAATCGACACTCCTTATCATGCTAAATGAAATGAACAGTGCATTTCACACAAAAAATATTTGAAATCTTGTAATAGAAAATTGATTAAATCGATACCTACTAATTAAAAATTGACCAGAGATTTTTTCTATAAAAAAAAAAATCGATACACGCACATTATATTAAAATACCAGTTCATAGTATTTTTTCGAAAGTTACGGTAACTTTATTATGTTAATTTCATATGAAAAATTGAAACCCACGCCTAAAAACCAATATATTGGCATGCGCATTACAGAAAAAAGTACACCGTATATTGATTAAGTTTTCAACAAATTTTCTACCAACAAACAGTCATCAAATAACCTAAATAAATTTGCTCACTTTATATCATATATTGATTAATTTATTTCCTATAGAAACAACCATCAATACCAAAAATAAATTCGTCTACTTTATACCATATATTAATTAATTCATTTGAGTAATTAAGGTATCTTAAAATATGGCTTAATTACTTCTTTAAATAATTGGCCGCAATTTCCATAAGTGATCATTTGATATATACCATGTTGATAAACGGAATTGTATCAACGAAAATGTACACCCGTATTCCGTGAATAATCGGTGTTTGATCTTTATATGTATATTGATTTTTTGGGAGATGAAGATCTATCCCATTTCTTGATATTTTGTGTATTGTAGAAGACCATGAATAGTGTCCTGGTTCTTCTCCTTTCTTTCTCATGTCCCTATACATATACATGCCCCTTTCCTTCCAAGTGGGCCTATTAAAAAATATATAAAAAGGGGACATTAGTATTTAATGTGAGATGACATCGTGAGGCCCGATCGTGACACTTGACGGCTTCGATTGACGTCTACTTTATCGGCAATTATTGTGTGTGTCGGAGAGAGATCTTCTCGATATTCGGGTCGGGCTGACAATATTAATGCTGCTCGGCTCGGACGTGGATAATCTGGGCACTTGGTGACCCGGTCGATATTAAATAACCAACTTAGAAAACCTGCTATGTTTATATTTATCCACGTGGAGCTTTTTTATTAATCGAGGCTAAATTGGTATCAACATACCATAAATTGTTAAATTAATTTCTCGTAATAGTAAATAGATTTTTTTTAGGGAAATAGTTATTATTTAAAAAATAATCAAACCTTTTTATATATATAAAGATTAAAGGAGATTGAGAATTGACAAATACAAACGCAAACTAATAGCGGAATTATATGAGAAAGATTTTGAATGCAATTAATGAAATAATTTTTATTTATTTAAATTGTATTATACTATTTTCATTAATAGTAGGTAATTATCTTACATTCAAAACAATTGTTCAATTTAGTGAATTCAATTCTTTCGAAATTTTCTCAATGGCTTTTGAATTATCTAGACGCTTTCTTTGAACAAACTCCTACATTTAAGGATTTTTTTAATGCAGTCCGATTCCAAAAATGAGAAAGGATTTTTAATTTAAGAACTAAATCAACATTGAACAAACTCCTTAATTTAAGGATTTTTTGAATGCAGTCCCATTTAAAAAATGAGAAAGGATTTTTATTTTAAAAACTAAATCAACATTACCCGAAATTTTCCAAAATTAATTAAACAAAACCCACCATTGTAGGGTGCATTTAATGATGCCCGATTTGATTGTTAAGAATTATTACAACCTTGCCAAAAATGGAATGCATTTAATGTTGGATGAATTATTTTGGTTACTATTTTTGAAAAATAGTAATTCTTATTATATATATATATATATATATAGATTACCACCGCTTATTTTTTAACCGTTTATAAAAACCCCTCCATGTAATTGCACGAGTTTACCATACTAACACTCAATACTTGATATAAATTCATCCAAAACAATTCAATCATTTTTAACTCAATTATTTCTTTAAACTCAACCACACTATCATCAATACTATCAATATAATTAAATAATATCAATCACATCATTCTTACACACCACATCGACCTTAATTCATTATTCATCAACTTACATAATTTTAACTAACTATCGCATCACATTTTCTCTCTCTTACTTTTACATCAAATTAATTTTAATCATTTTATTTTAAATATTATTTAAATATACCCACTAACCACTAACCATACAAACTTTTTTAAATTTAACCAACTCAAACCAAAAAATCCAATCAAAACCAAAACTTTTTATATCCAAGCATAGTAAGTAGCGGTGTGTAAAATTTGATCAAAAACGAAAAAATTGACTGAAATAAAATTATTTGTTTTATGTTTTTATATAGGTTCAGTTATCGATTTTTACTTTTAAAATTTCAGATATTTTGATTCGATTTTGATTTTATTTTCGAAATAACCAAAATAAAATGCTCAATACATTTTCTACATTATTAAATTATAATTTATTTTGGTTAATTCGATTAACTGACCAAATAAATCAATTGTTTCAGTTTGATTTCGGTTTGGTTTGGGATAGAAGATTGGTCGGCTCTGTTTTTTCAAAAATTCGACTTGGTTATTTAAGTTTTGACATTCCAGTCGGTCTGTTTAACCAAACCAACCGATGAACAGCCCGAAGCAAAAGTATGTCATATAAAAAGTTTAATATTGTTTAATATTAATTTATTTATCTATCAATATTGTGTAAGATATCACAAAATTTGAAGGAAAAATATCAAAATCAGTCCCGTAACTATAGGATTGTTTCACTATTGGCCCATTTGGAATCGGGTTTCTAAAAACTAGTCTCGTATCTTTTTAAAATCAATCAAAAATAAGATATTATTGTCGAAACTTCAAAATTCGGTCCAAGCAAGACATGTCATGTCGACATGTCTTAAATAATATCATTGTTGATCCATTTAATTCTTGCGTGGTGGATGACATGACAAAATATCAAAATCAGTCTAATAACTGTAAAGATGTTTCAATATTGATCCTATTATTTTTTTTTTTTTTACATAATTGAAAGAAGAAAAAAAAAGCATTCTTATTATTATGTTTTGCATAGTGTTTGTTAATATTTATATAATATCATAGTCGATATATTTAAGTTATATAGGTAAATAACAATTATAAAGATATTTTCAGTAAAATTGACTTAATCATTTATATTCTAATAAAATAATGATATAACATAAACGACAATTAGGATGATATTGAAAACAAAAACAAAGAAAGAAAATGTATTCTTGTAATCATTGTGATGCACTTCAAAATACAATGATATTAAGGACATTTACAAAACTATATTAAGAAGATTTTCACGAAATTAAACTTTTAATATTAAAAGATAATTATTGTTTTTCATACACATACTAATATACGAATATTTTGGAACCCTTCTATAGGCATACACCATTTGTACAAACGCCAAAAGTATATTAGTTAACAGAGAATAAAAAATACTCTTTTGCAGTTTTTCTTTTTTTTTTAAATGTTTGAAGGATTTTATTTGAAAAAACTCTTGATTTATTATACAAAATGTATATTGGATGAAAGTATGTACAATGAACAATCCCGACCAAAAAGATTAATATATTGCATTCTATTATAAAAATTAAGACAAATATTTTATATCTATATATGGCAATTGCATAACTATACACAAATATTTTATATTTTTATTATACCATTATTTTATGAATAAAGATCATTGTGTCAATTTGATTGTAAAGTCTGGAGCAATTGCAAAAATATTATTTAATAGTCTTATTTTCAATATTCTAAAATCAAGAGTTTGATTTTTAAATTATCCTAATTTTAAGGATGCTTAAAATATTTGAAGATATCTTTATAATTGCTATCTATTTATATGACTTAAATATTTCGGCTATAATATCGTGAAATGATTAATAAAGATTGTAAATCTTAATAATAAGAATGCTTTTTTTCTTTATGTAAAAATTGAGAAAAATTAGATTTTTTAATGGGACCAATATCATAACATCTCCATAGTTATGCGACTGATTTTGATATTTTGCCATGTCAGCCGCCAAGTAGGAGATAAATGGCCAAGTTAGATGATTAATAAGACACGTCAGCATGAAGTGTATTTTTCGAGCCAAATTTTGAATTTTCAACTACAATTGTAATATATTTTATTAATTTTTAAAAGATATGAAACTAGTTTAGAGAAACACGATTCCAATGGGACCAATATTGAAACACTTATACAATTATGAGACTTATTTTGACATTTTTTCCAATTTTGAATGAATAATTTGATGTGTTCTGATACTATGGAGAAATACTATGTAACCTAATTGGTAGAGATGACTAATTTATGAAAAAAAAATGGCTTGATACGATGGAGAAATACTATGTAACCTAATTGGTAGAGATGACTAATTTATATAAAAAAAAAAATTGGCTTTAAATATAAACGATACATTTATCAAATTTATACTTATATTAAAAGGTATACCATTTACAGATTTAGTATAAAGAAAAGTCAACAGCATTTATTGCATTACTATTTCCGTATTATACAATCTATACTTATATAAAAGGAGATTCTATTTACTACATTTACTATTCAGAAAAGTCAACTGCATTAAAAGCCATTACTATTTTGGTATTATAATATTTTATTGTTTAATTGATTTATTTATTTATTTTATTTTAAAAAGGTAAGTATAATAAAAAGATTTTAATGATAAAAAAATTAAATACCAAATAAAAATATACACTTTGACTTATTTGATTATATTTGGTATTTGATTATACCAAATATATTCCTATTTAGTATATACATTAAATACTTACTAAAGTATTTATTTGTTTTATTTGTCAAAGTTAAGTATAAATTTGTTTATATTATCAAATCATAAAAAAATATTAAATCCATATTGTTAAAAAAAATCATATAATTTTATAACAATTCTACTACACTATTTAACAATATTTCTTTTTTATTATATAATAACATAATAATTAAATATTATATGGTGAACAACAATAAGTAAAACTGTTACTTTCTCTTATATCAAGGGATAAATTTATATGCTAAAATTAAATTTTTATTAGTATAAATGTTTTAGTGAGATAATATATTAATTATTTTACAAGCTAGCCCTAACATGCTCATATTTAATGTTTTAAAAGATGTAGAAAAAAAAAACTTATATAACTCTATTGTTTTTTAGATTTAAACGTTGATTAAAAGAGGTAAAAATTCCTAATTTTTTAGACTTAAACGTTGATTAACACCATAGATTGAGAGTTTATATTTAGTAAAATTCCTAATTGTAATAAAAAAATTAATTTTTGCTATATTTTAGAATATCTTTAAATTCATTATAAAAAGAAAAAGAAAAAAAACTACAATAAAAAAGCAAGTCAGCTATATATCGATTTGTTGTACTCCTCAAATCACATTCACAATTTGGCTACAAGGAAAGAAAACTCATTTATTAAAATATTATTTTGTCAGTAATCTTAATGTACAAGAGACTTTAAGACTCTACTTGAATATTATAAAACTTTTATTGAACATTGTACAATTTTCTCGCGTATTATAAACTTTTATTGGATATTGCACCTTATAATATAATATTCTCCAAATAAATATATCTCGTGCTTCGCACGGGTCACATACTATATATATCTCGTACATTTTTCTTTATTCATGTATATAATTATAAGCCTGGATAAATAGCCTTACAATTGTGCACCTCGTGCATCGCACGGGCTCTGTACTAGTATCCAAATCACAGGCTTAAATTTGTGCCGATTTGTTGCATAAATGCCAGTGTCCCTGAGATGAAAGAAACATCGGCGCCCTACTCAATATATAAGAGCCCCAAAATGAACATTCTCACAACGCCATCAGGCCCACAATTCACAGTTCTTCAGTAATCGCTTGTTCCCGTGTGATTATTACAAAATTTATCTTACTATTTTCCACAATGGTTCAAAAGAAAAGAGAAGAAAATGAAAAAGGAAAGGACTAAAATCTCACAGAACTCCTATAGTCACGTTGTTAAATGCCAACCGCGCAAACTGCTTTCATGACTCGCTGCATTATTTTGAGAGCTCAGTGGGCCCCCAAATATAGGTCTCATATAGGCATCATCAAATCTCCTCCAGAAGGAATGGATAGTGTAGACGGGCCTTTCTATTAGCCTCGACAAACTATCTTTTGCCCTGAGAAGGTTGGTGGCAGCTGATTCATCGAACGAGAGCAGAGGAAGTGTCATATCCTCCTTAGAAATAGTCGGCTCACGGTCTAACTTGTTGGTATTGTTATTGTTATTGTGAGGAAGAAGGTACATAATCAGTGGCTTTGTTAAGAAGCCAAGGACCTGCATTAGGGAATGGATTATTATCACCAAAAACATGCACAAAATTATCTATGGCGCCTATGAAACTCAGCTTTTGACTAATTTAGGGACTCACTAAAGTGCTAAAGAGGACGACGATAACTGTTGTCGTGACCATTGTTGCATTGACCGGATCCCACGGCACGCCATAATGAGTAAACTGTGCAAAGAAAATATTTGAGCTAACAATAAAAGCATAGTTGCTCAAGAATTTCAAAGCCGCAATTTGGCTAGCCTTTTACCTGTTTGAAAGCCAAAGCTATGGAGACTGCACCTCTCATAAGCCCGGCCCACCAAATTACAACCTAATGAGATTCCCATTTGAGACAAAATATAATACCAAAAGTAGGAAGAACAGGAATCAATTATATTCATAGCCAAGACTTCATTAAAGCAAGTTGTTCAAGAAATGAAAATATTTTTACATAGAAGATTCTCTAGTTGCCACAGGTGCAAATATTGTGCTAACCTGGTGTTTGAACGTTATGGATGATGATGATGATGATGATGAAGTTGATGACGATGATGATGACCTTCGGCTCATATAGTTCGATAAAGCCGAGAGAGGAAATACAAAAGCAGCACGCCCAAGCATTAACAGGAACATGACACTACAGTATACACCGATCGAATCCCAGATACTGCAATAATACTTTTAGTTCAGAGCATATAATCAGTTGACATAGTGGATACAAACTATCATGGTAATAATTTACTATGTTTAGAGTGCTTTTGATTGGCCACATGAGTTAGTGGGCTTATTTTTTCGCCCAGACTTGTCACAAGGAAGAGCAGTGAGATACATGAACAATTAGTTTATCATAATAAAATACGGACACATTTGATTTGATGGATACATGAACAAGAGTAATAGATCAATCCATGCATTTATGCTATCAAGACTACAAATTATATCAACTCTATAAATTGTATCAACTGGGAAGAAACAACCCATCCAAGAATTAGTAAGAATTACCCAAGCTTGCTCATTTTCCATTTCTTGACATCCAAGGCATCCATTCCCACGTATAAAAATATAAATGTTTCTGCAATGAAGGACATCATTGCAAATACATGCCTGCAATCGGAGAAGATTAAAATAAAATTCATGATATGCATTGCTATGATTGATTTTGACGTTGTTTTCTCATTTCTGGTTGCTTCATGAAGCCAAAATTAGTTAAAATTTCGATATCAGTGGCCACATAAACGAGTTTCAATTATCCTTCACAATGGGGCAAAGAACACCACTCCTTGCAAGTAGTTTAGCATAACAATCCTATATACCTTGTTGTAACTCTTGAATTGTCGGTTACATTATGCCAAGCATAATGTGACATGAAAATCCCAGAGAAAAAGACAGTCAGGATCCCACTTAGCTCGAATAGCTGTAAAAACATTAAAAAAGGTTCTCAAGCTGTGTATTTTCAATAAATTTGAAAGATTTAATGGATATGGCAAAAGGTGGAGAAATGATTTCATGGTACCGATGCAATGGTGGCAAAAGCAGGGTATAAATAATAAAAAAAAAAATTACATCTAGTTTGAGAGATAAAATAGCTTCAGACTTTATGCATCTAATGATCTCTCACAGGACTTAACAAATTGTTCCACCTTTACATAAGCTGAAAGAACATTGAAATAATGCGAGTGTAAATTGGCTAAAGTGTATTTATTTCAGGTACCTCAGCCAACATGTAAGACAGGTATGCCATAAGAACCATAAGAGCAATTTCACGAACACTGGAATGTCTGCTGACACAAATAATTACGAGAGTCCACATAAACTCTTAATCAAGAAGACAAATCCACCTACACCTGAATATATCAAGGTTTTTTTACCCCACTTCTCCATCAACAAATGATAAAATAAGAAACAATTTACCTTCCTAAGTACAAGCCCTTGAGAACAAATGCAGTCAAAAGTCCAGCCTGAGACAAATAACAAGGAAACTCGGCTTACTTTGTGCATAAAATAGAACTCTTAGGTAATTAGTACCATCTTAGTCAATTAAAAATAACTCAAATCACCAACAAGAACTTCATGTACAGTTTTGTTCTTTTTATGCATCTTTCAAGGGAAAATAAATCAGAAATTCAATAATTGATAGGCAAAGCAAGCACTTAGAGCATGTTTGGATACAAAATTTTTCAAAAAAATCCAAACATTTTTAACTCAACCACTTTTTTTAACTCAACTTTAACTCAACTCCACTATCATCAATATTATCAATATAATTAAATAATATCAATCAATCATTCTTACACACCACCTTACCTTAATTCACTATTCATCCACTCACATAATTTTAACTAACCATCACTTCAAATTTTCTCTCACCTACTTTACATCAAATCAACTTTAATCATTTTATTTTAAATATTATTTAATATACTCACTAACAACTAACCTTACCAAACTTTTTCAAAATTAACCAAACCAAACAAAAAAATCCAAACAAAACCAAAATTTTTTATATCCAATCATCCTCTTAATGAATTATTAGTCATATGAAAATGAATTTGCATTAATATATCTTGTTGGCTGTCATTATTATTATTATTATTATTATTATTTTATTTTTTTTTTTTATTTTTTTAATAATTCCAATCTTTGAAACCCAAGGGCCAAGCCAACATTTTTGTAGATATCCGACCAACAAATTGGCTTCCAGATTAAAACAGAGAGAGAGAGAGAGAAATAAAAAATATATTTGAAAACCTATGCAAAAAAAATCGACACAAATTTCCTCCCCTACTGAAAATTTGAACTCACAGCAACTCCTAAAGCAGTGCTTGTGGAGAACAAGTACAGAAAATCCAAAAGTACTTTGACTGCTGTCCAGCCATCAACTCTGTTGACATCAAGCTTTTGAACTGCATTAAATAGAACAACTGTTGTGGCATCATTCACTACCCCCTCCCCAAAAACAAGGCTGTATAGCAAGGGAGTTTCTTCTTGATGCAGCACCTGTATTAAAACTGAAGAAGTCATATTTTGAGCTTCACGAGAGCTTCGGATACTATTTTGAGGAAATTATGCATAGAGATATCTGCTTTCCTAACCTGCAGAGTGCACACAGTGTCTGTGGATGAAAATATTGCTCCAATACCTTGTGTAAACCAGCAGACACGTACTGTTAGTTAGAGTTGCACACCATGAAAAATTGCAGAAAATGTAGTCTGTCATGGTCTTTGTAAACAAACCAAGATAATCTTGAGGACTCAAACCAATAAAACCCAACTTGGGAAACAGCAACCAGCTCCCTATACAGAAATATCAATACTTAGAAACCTTGTTACACTTAAAAAAGCATGTGGGTATGTGTAACAAACAAAAACTATCTCACAGGACCGGAAACAATTTATAATGAACAGGTGTGATGCTTTACCGGCTGTAATAATGGGTGAAGATATAAAAACTCCAACCACTCCAAACAGCATTATTGTAAAGAAATTATGGAAGAACTGCTTCTTCTTCACCTGGAATCTGGAAAAAAAAAAAAAAATCACAGTGACATCATGACATGAAACTACCATAGTTGTAACTGATACTAAGACTCACACAAGCAGCTATAAATTCTCACCCTGCATTAAAAATTATCGGCGGAAGGAGATAGATGAAAAAGATCTCCTCATCAAATCTCAATATGTGTGAACTTTTTCCTTTGCTGACTAGAAGAACTATTGTCCCAGTCAGAGATCCCTTCAAAAGAAAAAAGAAAACTTTCAGGAATCTAGTTTACCATGGATCCAGTTAAAACATATCAACCCAAATATGTGACAGAAGGAGATAATCATAATCCTAATATGTTCTATTCCAAGTCCAAGTGTCGCAGAAGGCCTAGAATACTTGCTCTTTCATCCAAATCCAACATAAATTCCTTAAAAAACTATCACGGCTCACTTCAACTCATCGGAAACATGTACACAACCAAGAGAACAATTCCTAGTATGAGATATGGAATAATTATTAGTGAAGATTCTCATATTTGATTTTTTTTAATTACAATCCACTACTCCAGCCTAAGCCTCCAGACATGCCTCTTGTCGAGTTTAGTGTCACGGAATACAAATGCAACATAAAACAAGTAAGAGAAGCTGCTGAGATAATTCACGGCAGTGAGACCATGATCACAGGTGGAAGGTGCTTAATTTTCAATTATAAAGGAATTAAATAGTGCAAAAGAAGGAAACATATCCGAACATATTCTCATTCCCAGCACAAATGTCAATGTCAAATTCACACATCACACATATAATAGCATTTTCAAACCAACATCAGTATGACTGATGACATCTAACCAAACAGATGTTTTTAGATTTTCACACAAAAATTATTTTTTTTAAGCTAATGATGTAATCCAAATAAAATGAGGAGTGACAAAACAAGAGCCCCTGTATACTCCTAAGCTATTAGCTCTCAAATTACCCAATGTTTATTGAACAAGAAAATCATGCAAGCATATCTTATCCAGCAAAATCCATCCGAATTCCCAAAAGGTACTCCCCTTCTAACATCATTCACTAGCGGTTAATCAAAGAGGCGCTCCATAAAGTATACGCACCGGCATTCACGAAATGCCCTAAAATGAGAAGAAAAAAGGGGCATAATTACGATTAAAAGAGCGGTAATGGACTCGTTGACCCATCGGTTTTCTTCGAGCAAGTGTCCAATCACTAGGCACAAGCAGAGAACCGCCACGAACAATGTTATAGGGACGACCTGCGCGGGGGTCGACTCTCCCAGGTTCCCTCCGATCTCCCATAGTCTCCTCGTCGTCTCCATTGGAGAAAATTAGAGCTAAAAGACGCATCGAATGGTGATTTTCTTTTGGATAGAATGAGGACAAGGTAAGCGGTGGAGCGGTGTGCGTGCCGCCATCTGGCGCGAGTTCCCGCCGCCATACTGATACGTGTCCGCCGCTGGCCGCCGTCTTCTGCTCACTTGGTAAAATTTATCGAGAAAATTATAAATTTGGTCTCCTGTAATTTGATCTATTACAAAATAGTCCAATAAATTGTAATATTTGTCCTTTTTAATTTTTGTTACAAATTTGGTTCCAACTCTGTCAAAACTAACGAGATGGTTCACCGTTAATCATTAGATTTTTTTTTTTTTTTTCGAAACAAAAATAATATTATAAACCACTCGAAAAAATACAACTGGGCGCACTAGACAGTGCAAGCCTTAGCTATCAATACGTAGCTAAGTTACAACACAAAAAAAGAGAACTAAAAACATAAGGAGCCTAACAAGAAAGTATACAAATGGCGTCACAAACAATCTAAAAGAAAGCAGAAACAGAACTAGAAAAACAAAACTAAAGGAAACAAGACATAAATAAAACTAAACAAAACAGAGGCCAGGGAACTTAAGCAGATGTCTTGGGAGATTTGAATAATATATTCCAGGCAACCACCTGACCACTGATCTTAAAACAAGATCCTAGCTGGGTAGCTGCAACTTGTCTCCCAAGCAAAGCCAAAAAAACAAAAGAACTATAGCAAATGGGAAGCTAAACATGTTATCAACTGGGTATAAAAATTACACGGGAATCCTACGAACTGATATGTATTTTTCAGTTCTTACAAATAATCTAAAAAATAGAAAATTACAATAGAACTGAAAAAATAAATTACAATTGGAAAATAAATTAAAACCTAAAACGGAAAGATTTTAGCCGAGGCGAGTAAAACTCTTTCCGCAAGAAGAATACGCCCCGTGTGGCAGCTAACGGTTCAGGCGTAACTTCCCCAAAGATACAACGGCAAACGTCTCTAAATCTGTAGCACACCAGATTTACGAGCTCCGGCGAACTAGAACGGAGTCGAGAATTGAGCACTAAAAAATAAAATTATCTATAAGATAATTTTCTCTATTTTTTTTTTCTTGAACTTATTATTATTATTATTTTTTTCTTCCCTTTATTCTTTCTTCTCTTCTACCGTGTTTCTTTCTTTCTTTCTGTGTGTCTTCTCAAATGAGCATAGACTCTATTTATAGATGAGAAAATGCTAATCAAGTTGCTTGGGAATCAATTCTTTGCAATAATTATGATCAATTATTTGCAATAATTTTGATCAATAATTAAAGTCAACTTTGCCAACTAATAATCCAAGTTGTACAATCATTTACACTCAATTATTAAAACA